GTTACCACCATGTTTTTCATCACGTGGACCTCTCCAAAGTGCTACTCATAACATGGCAGCTGGCTTCCCCCAGAGTAAGCGAACTGGGAGAGGGAGAAAGTGGCCAAAATGGAAGCCACAGGGCTTCCCTGGTGGCACAGCGGTTAAGAATCCGCCTGCCAATTCAGGGGACATGGGTTCAAGCCCTGGTCTGGGAAGATCCCACATGCCATGGAGGAATGAAGCCCATGTGCCACAACTACTGAGCCTGCGTTCTAGGGCTCGCAAGCCACAACTACTGAGCCCACGTGCTGCAACTACTGAAGCCTGCATGCCTAGAGCCTGTGCTCTGCAACAAGAGAAGCCACCGCAATGAGAAGCCCATGCACCACAACGAAGAGTAGCCCCTGTTCACCACAACTAGAGAAAGCCCACGCGCAGCAATGAAGACCCAATGCAGCTAAAAAAAATAAAAAATAAAATGGAAGCCACAACGTCTTTTATAACTTAATATCAGAAGTGACATATCATTACTTCTCCTGTATGCTACTGGGCACACTGACCAAACCTGATGTAATGTGGGAAGGGACCACCAGGGTGCTAATATCAGGAGACAGGAATCATTAGGGGGCCATCCTTCAGGTGGCTACAACATAAACCAGGGAATGAATAAATCTATTTCACATCCTAGTCTTCATTTCAAGAATCTCAAAGAGGCTAATTTTCACATATCCTCTATTTCTCCTCTGACCTACTCATTTATCATGGGTTTTACCCATTTCTCTTTACTTTCCAGCTTATCCCTTACCTGTTTATCCCCCTCTCCCACTTCATCAGGCCATGGAACATGGCATCTCAGGTCTTCATGACTGACTGAAGGCAACTGCAGCAGTCAACTGGCTCAGCAGGGTCCTCCGTTAGAAGCCTCCGTGATGGGAAGATAGACCCTCAAAGATCAGAACTCCCCAAATCTTTGCAGAGGAGAACAATAAATGAATTCAGCTCAATAAAAAGCAGGCAGCCTGGGATTGTAAGGAAACAAGTCCCTGTGTTTGTTGCTGGTGACATGTGAGAAAGCAATCTGTTATAACAAATCCAGCTATGTGTTATAAATATTCGTCACACTTTTTGATTCACTGATATCTTCTTTGGAGAACATACCCTCCAAAAACAACAACATCAACAAATAGAAAAAGTGAAGTTGTATTCTTTGGACCATCTCAAATGCTCAATAACAAGGAATTGGTCTGAGTAACAGGACAGAAAACTATATCAGCATAAGTGACAAGCATGTCATTTCACTGACACTGACCTGTGTCTATGAAATACAACTATGTGAGAAACACAAAGTAGGGCATATGTAAGTAAACACACACTGCTAAGATCAAGGTTTGGAAAATCAGAATAGATACAAATAGATTATTGTTGATTAGGATCTTGGGGGTTAAATTTTTTTCATGAGAAGACCATTTCCTCGGAAGTCATCTGACTAGGAAACTACTAAGCATTGATAGGAGCTGCTTTCCAGTAACCCAAACAACACTCTCTGAGTCTTGGTTTCCTTGGTCACCAAATAAGTGTCACATACCTAAATCCCAGGACTGTAAAGATTAAATGAGATGAACTGTCTGCGTCCATCCTGCCCACTGGGAAGGGGTTTATAATCCAGGTGGAGGAAGTGTGGAATGAGGGAAGCAACCTGGGCTTTGCATTCTGCTCCCACCACACTTAGTACCTTAGCTCTTTCTTACCCTCAGCTTCTTCAACTGTAAATGGTCCTTTCTACCTTGCAAAGTTCTGTCGGGGTTAAATGTTGCATCATATGTACAAAGGCTAGTAGAGTACTCAGCACATATTAGGTGCTCAATTAATATTAGTCCCCTTCTTTTTTGTTAACTTATATCTCCAACTCTTTCATTCTCTTCAAATAAAATGAAAAATAAGGAAAACCCTTTGAAACTGGAAACAAGCAAGTTAAGGCCAAATTTCCAAAAAGTGATATTTCACTAGTTCATTGCCAAGTCACACAATAAAAATAGTTTGTAAGAAGTCAAAGGGGATAGGGTCTTGACACACTACTCAAGTTAACCAAAGGGCCATCCAATGGTCTTGGTGCAGGGGCTGATCTGAGCCCTTTCCTGACATCCCTAGTCTTGGGAGACAAGATCCATATCGCAGAACAGTTTGCCTATAGGTTGAAAACATAAAGGGGTTCAAGATGTGAGAGTATCCACCAGAAATAAGCCTAGGGCATGATTTGTGAACTGTGGAGCCCAAGGGTAAACAGCCTGGAGACCACAAACTCTTCCTCAGAGGAGTTTCCAACAGTACCAAGAGTGGCACTTGATGAAACAGAAACCACCCCTAAAGGAGAACTCCATCTTCTAGGTAGGGTCTGGGGAATAAATTAGCTGAAAGTCAAGGAAAGGGAAAGAACAGGTTATGGATACTCCCAGACTCCTCTTAAGACTGGAGTCTGTCTCCAGAATTACCAGCACAGTGGAAGTAAAACATATGCTCCTTTAGAATTAAAGTCAGCCCCAAATAGCAAAGAAAGAACAGGATGCATGGCCCTTGTTTGTAAACAAAGACCAAGATAAATGTCGGCTGCCAGACCTCAAAGGGAGGTATGACAGGCCACTTGCAGGGGGAAGCCACAGGCGGCAGAACGAGCCCTTTGGTCTCCCTGGTGGTCTCTGGCAGATCTTTTCACAGGCATCCCCAAAGAGCAGAGAAGCTAAGGGGGCCAGAAGGGGGCACCGACCCCAGCACCCTCCCCACAGGTCTGTGCTGTCTTCTTTGGCCAACGTTCAAGCATTTATAAACTTGATCATCACTCTCATCACAGCTGTGGCTGAATGCTTTGGAGTCAGGCATTTAGATGTGAATCTCCCAACAACAGGTAAATGGCTAAGCCTCAATTTCCTTGTCTGTATAATGGGATTACCAGTAGTCCCCCACCTCGTAGGTGGTTGTAAAGGGTAAATGAGATCATGTGTGCAAAGCTTTCAGCACAGTGCCTGGCACATAGCCAGTACTCACAAATGGTAGGCGCTATTATTATTTTTATTCTGTTGTTGTTGTTGATTTTGCCTTCTGCTTTGTCACGTCATCCAGGGTAGCATTTCTCACCAGAACTGGGAGACATGCAGAGCTGAGGGACCATCAATGACCAACTCAGACATTTTCCAGAGTGGGGAAGGGTAGTATTGACGGCAACCACGAGAAGCAGCAGCTGTAGGGAAGAAGTGAAGAGGAAGGGCGTGTGCTGCTCATGAGGCAACGTGCGCATCTATCAGCCTTGCTCCTGGGTCTGCTACAGGCCAGCTGAGGAGCCAGATTCTCAGGGCAGCAAAGGGACCAGGGCTGGTCTGCAAGGAGGTTCAATCATGTTTGCTGAGGGCTCAGGGGCCATTTACAAGTGATGTGAAATGAAGAAGAAGGTCCCCTGGGAGACACCTGGAGAAGACTCCTCCATAGGGGCAGGGGTTCTGCCCACCTCCCTCCCCCACCCTCACTCACACAGGGTTTGGGGAAGAAAGCAGGGCAGAGAAGGCACCACCCGTGCCTCGGGGCCAAGCATCCCATCAAGGACCAGCGTCTCATTCTCACCCTGGGAACTCGAGACTCACAACAGGACCCAAAACATACAGCAGAGCTCTGCTACTGCTCAGCCTCAGAGCACTGGATTTTAAGGAAGGTACTGTTTATTTTCAACATTTCCGACTGGAACACAAGATATACTTTTCTAGCAGGTCGGTACACAAGTAGTTCCGATAACCAGGCCACCTTAGGAGCCCCGTTACGGTAATTGCACTAAATATCTGGGGTTGTCTTTTCGTTGGTAACACAAATAAGAGGTAAGTAAAGGTTACTGAATAGGAAATTCAACACGATATATATATAGTCCAGGGCCTAGGACAGTGCCCAGAACACAGAGGAGCTGATTAATGTTTGCAGAATCAGTGTTTACTGAAGTTCATTTAAAAATAGCCCAGCAGTGATCAGTAACCCAGTGTATCAGGAGAGTGTCTCCTCTCTCTCACAAACACACACACACACACACACATACACACACACACAATGGCAAACAATAGGAAACCTCAATATATGGTCATTTTAAAAAATGATGTAATAACACAATTCACAAATATTTTCTCTGAGAATTGATTCTCTGGTTGCTGACTCTCCAACTTCGTTTCCTTTTAAAAGGCAGACCTAAAAATGCTCATAGAACTCCATTTTGTTCTTTTCCATACTCCCTTTATTACTTCCTTCTATCATGTGCGCATCATATTTCACCTGTACAACACTAGGGATCCGGTTATGACAAACTCTGTAACGGCCCATCATACTCCCTCTATGGTGGCTTACCTAGTTTTACTAAGTTATATCCCTCATACAGAAGTGCATGACCCCAAAATACATAAAAGTCATTTTTGCAACCCACAGAGTGAGCATGTAACTGATACGAATGTAATTCACACTTATTTAACACTTACGTCTCCTAATAACTTCTTTTTTAAAAAAATGCATGGTGGTATCTTACAAGAAGTCAGTTGATGGGCTCTTGAAAAACTCAGAATAAAACAATATATCAAAGGGGGCCTGTCTTCTGGTCAGTTCATCATCTGTGTTTTTGTGAGTGTTCTTAACAAAGGTGATTGTGTGTCTGGAGTATGGGACACATATATATGTAAACATGCACACTACAAGTGAAAATTCAGAGAACGCAGACACTGTCTAATTCATCAAGACATGAATTTCTTCCTGGTACTGACTGCAACAGCTATTACATTGGACCACCCAAGAAAGCCCCTCCCCAAAAAACAAATCATGGGACAGGTTCTCCGACAGTAGAACCAATCCTCTCATTAGTCTGGGATGGTTGATGGACAGAAATCATATTATTTAAATCCTTTGTTGATTCTGTGCCCAATATACTGACATTTAACATTAAATTTGCCTTCAAATCATATTTTACAAAAAACGAAAGGTAAGAAAAACCATTCTTTTCCTACCTGATGCTGTAGCCACCAGAAGCCAGGCTGTTGCTCTCTGAATGGGACAGACTTCAGGATTTAATCTTCAGCAACCTCCCCTGGAACCAGAACCATCGGAAGAAAACTTTCAGTTGCTATGAGCAAGCAGACTGTTTACTTCCAGCCAATTCTTTCTCATTCCCATGGCTTGCTGAGTGCCAGAGTAGGGTGGTTAAGAAAGGATGTCTGGGGAGAAAGGGGTAGAGTTTGGGAGAAAGAGAAGAGACAGTTCCCAAGGGAAGGATTCGCTCACCCAGTACCCTTCCTTCAAGCAAAGGAAAGCCCTCTTTTTCAGCTTTAATTTCTCATGGAAGATCTGCCACTGCGTTACTCACAGGTAATTACTACATTGCCCCTTTACAAACAGCAGACATACTTTTTGGGCGAGCCTCCAGATTTCTGATTCATGCCTGTACCTGTCCACAGGGATAGCACTGCGGCTGGGAAAATTGGGAGGGCAACAAGCCCGCCCAAAGGGAGGACACAGTCTAGACTATTAATCAAGTTCTTGGGATAAAATGTGATCAAAAAGATCAGAGGCTGGTGTGAGCCCCTCCATCCATCGGGCATCCACCTCACTCATGGAATCACCCGGTTAGGGCTCAAACTTTTTCCAAGTAGACCAGCCCCTACACTTTATCAAGCTTCAACTTGTTTCCCCAAAGAAGAAAGGAGGAGCGAGGATTACTATAACAAAAGGAATGTGGTTTTCTTACTTAATCTGAGCAGTCGATGTAGGAGAGTCAAAGACGATCGATGTACAATTACAGCTCCTTTAAGTTTAATATCTGAAATACAGGGTTTAAGAAGACATTTCAGTGATAAGCAAGTGTTACAGAGGCTTCCGGTTTGATTCATTTCTAGTTTCCAAGAACGGGAGGTAACACAGTAAAGAGGACAAGGCAAAGAGGTAGAAATTGGAAAATCTTGGGTCTGTTATTTACTAGTGTGACTTAGCCTGGTTTCCAAATAAATAAAATGAGAAGACTGGGCGGCAAGATCTGCACAATAATAGAACATCATCTCTCACTTTTACACCTATCCACCTTGCTCTTTTATCGACACTTCAGTTCTCCTCTGGGGAATCACGCCTTCCTCTCAGCTTATTTGCATGGGGTTGGTAACACCCACAGCCTTCTTCAGAAACATTCATATGGCCAAGTCCAGCCAATCGGAGTCACTGATAGATTCAGAGATAGGTTCGTGCCAACAGGAGTCATTTCTGGGATTTGCTGGGAAGAGGAGTTGTCTTGCTGTGGCCACTAATCTGATGAAACAGAGCCTTGTGCTTCTGGTGGCCATCCTAGGGAAAGAGGGAATGCATGAAGGTAAAGCCACTGCAGAGGAAAGCAGAGCTTAGAGATGGCAAGAGACCAATTCCTAAGGATGTCATTTGAAGACTTAGATTCAGCCATGACTGAAAACCATTTTTCTTTGAACTCCTTAAAAATTTTTCCTTTAGTTCCTTAAGCCTGTTTCTGTTAGGTTTCTGATGCTTGCCACTGAAAAACTCCAGCTAATATGAATTTCTTGTAAGTGCCCTCTACCATCTAACACTACTGCTTTTTAACATTTATAGCCACAATGATCTGGGTGGCGTGAGGAGGCATAAGGCTGATAAATCGGTTTCCTTTTGAAGCACTCTTGGGAAATTTTTGTTTTTTAAAGACTAAGCCTGCACAGCAGAGAGATGTAGAAGTAAGGCAAATTCTGGTGAAAGATTTTTAAATTCTTTATTCTTCTCTCTGAATACAGCTCTTTGTAAAAAATCAAATTCAAAAAATGCACAAAGATGAAATGCACCAAGTGAAAAGCTCCCATAATTTTACCTTCCAGAAATAACCATGGATAATGTTTTAGTGGTTTGCTATTCAAAATGTGATCCACAGACCAGCAGCCTTGGCCTGGATCTGGTTACAAATGCAGAACCTCAGGCCTCAATCCAGTCTTGGATTTTAACAAGGCCCCCAAGCAATCTGTGTGCACATCAAAGTCTAAAAAGCCTTGGCCTAATGTGTAAACATTTTTTTCTTCTAGTTGCCAGCATTTTTTGGCACATTTAATTTGTTGGCTTTTTATTTTACTAATTTTGTAAAGAAAAGACATATATGAATACAATGAATCGGAAACAGTGAAATCAAAATCCTTTACAAACTTAAGTAATTCATTTACTGGGACCATATGCAAATTATAAAAATGTTACAAACCCATACAGACCCTAGGACACATATAGTAGCAAACTATCCCAGGACAGGACACACTATAGCTGTGGTTCTCCACCAGCTGGAGGTCATACTGCCAGCCCCACATTCAGAGTTTCCAGTTCAGTAGGATGGCAGGGTGCCGGGGGTGGAGGGGACAAGGCCTAGGAATCTGCATTTCTAGCAAGTTCCTGGGTAATGCTGATGCTGCAGGTCCCAGATCAACGTTTCACCAGTGTTTCAAAAACAAATCTGGTTTTATACTATACGTATATACACATACTATTCTGAACCTTGCTGTTTTCACTTAATACTGTATCTGACATCTTTCCATGTCAACCATGTAGCATTACATCATTCCTCGGGCTGCAAGGTCAGAGATTTTCAGCTGATATGTTGAACATATGTTGAGTATATGTTGAACAACACAGAAGGGAATCACTGGCATCTTCAACGTAAGGACTAGCATCCCCACGACTGGAATCATCACTTGCGATATTAAATAAGCATCGCATGTTTGAGGCTACAGATAAGCAAAGGTCTGGACAGACCAGGAAAGTGATCAGCATCGTGCAAGTGCCACCGAAGACACAACGAGAATGTAATTTAAAAACTTCCACATTAAAAGCCAAGAGTCAAGCCAAGGTCTTTGTGTGAGGACTCGGGGAGAAGGGTTATGTCCTCAACTGGCATGGAATGCTCTCAAATTTCTCAGCTCGGCTCCGGCTTTTGTCGGAGCGCCGGGAGAGGACTGAGGTTGGCGGCGTGAACACAGCCTGCAGGGCGTTGGTGCGCCGCGGCTGGCCGGGAGAGAGTCCGGGGAGGGGTCTGGACCTGCCGAAGAGGCAAGAGACTTTTACGTCCCTCTTTGTTTCCTGGTGCACGAGGAGAGGGGATTAAGAACGCTGCTTGAGAGAGCTCCAGGGACGGGCGCGAGCCGCGGCTAAGAGTGCGGAGCCCAGAGACGGACATGGGACGCTAAGGCCGCTGCTGCCGCTGCCAGGAGGCCTGTGTGCGAACACAGGTCACTAGCCACACGCCCTTCCGGGGAGACTGTGCAGCCCGCCACTGCCAGGGTCCCGGGATCCAGGGACGGCTCCCCCGGGAGAGCGCACGGAGCGCCTCAGGCTGCAGCGTCACGCCGGCCTCTGCCGCTGCAGGCCCGACCCGCACTCCGTGCCCCTCCCTACCCCCCCGGCCTGGGTGAGCCAGAGCCTCCAAATCAGCAGCTCCTTTAACCCCGTCCTGTCTGAGCAAAGAACAGACGCCCTCCGGCAACCTACACGCACAGGCGGGGCCAAATCCAAAGCTGAGCCCCTGGGAACTGTGAGAACAAAGAAGAGAAAGGGAAATCTCTCCCAGCAGCCTCAGAAGCAGCGGATTAAAGCTCCACAATCAACTTGATATACCCTGCATCTGTGGAATACCTGAATAGACAACGAATCATCCCAAATTAAGGAGCCCTGTGGATGAAAGGCTCTTGGTGCTGCAGCCAGGAGTCAGTGCTGTGCCTCTGAGGTGGGAGAGCCAACTTCAGGACACTGGTCCACAAGAGGCCTCCCAGCTGCACATAATATCAAACAGCAAAAATCTCCGAGAGATCTCCATCTCAACGCCAGCACCCAGCTTCACTCAACGACCAGCAAGCTACAGTGCTGGACAGCCTATGCCAAACAACTAGCAAGACAGGAACACAACCCCACCCATTAGCAGAGAGGCTGCCTAAAATCATAATAAGTCCACAGACACCCCAAAACACACCACCAGACGTGGACCTGCCCACCAGAAAGACAAGATCCAGCCTCATCCACCAGAACACAGGCACTAGTACCCTCCACCAGGAAGCCTACACAACCCACCGAACCAACCTTACCCACTGGGGACAGACACAAAAAACAACAGGAACTACGAACCTTCAGCCTGCAAAAAAGGAGACCCCAAACACAGTAAGATAAGCAAAATGAAAAGACAGAAAAACACACAGCAGATGAAGGAGCAAGATAAAAACCCACCAGACGTAACAAATGAAGAGGAAATAGGCAGTCTACCTGAAAAAGAATTCAGAATAATGATAGTAAGGTTGATCCGAAATCTTGGAGATAGAATGGACAATAGACTGGACAAATTGCAAGAATCAGTTAACAAGGACCTAGAAGAACTAAAGATGAAACAAGCAACGATGAACAACACAATAAATGAAATTAAAAGTACTCTAGATGGGATCAATAGCAGAATAACTGAGGCAGAAGAACGGATAAGTGACCTGGAAGATAAAATAGTGGAAATAACTACTGCAGAGCAGAATAAAGAAAAAAGAATGAAAAGAACTGAGGACAGTCTCAGAGACCTCTGGGACAACATTAAACGCACCAAATTTCGAATTATAGGGGTTCCAGAAGAAGAAGAGAAAAAGAAAGGGACTGAGAAAATATTTGAAGAGATTATAGTTGAAAACTTCCCTAATATGGGAAAGGAAATAGTTAATCAAGTCCAGGAAGCACAGAGAGTCCCATACAGGATAAATCCAAGGAGAAATACGCCAAGACACATATTAATCAAACTGTCAAAAATTAAATACAAAGAAAACATATTAAAAGCAGCAAGGGAAAAACAACAAATAACACACAAGGGAATCCCCATAAGGTTAACAGCTGATCTTTCAGCAGAAACTCTGCAAGCCAGAAGGGAGTGGCAGGACATATTGAAAGTGTTGAAGGAGAAAAACCTGCAACCAAGATTACTCTACCCAGCAAGGATCTCATTCAGATTTGATGGAGAAATTAAAACCTTTACAGACAAGCAAAAGCTGAGAGAGTTCAGCACCACCAAACCAGCTCTACAACTGCTAAAGGAACTTCTCTAGGCAAGAAACACAAGAGAAGGAAAGGACCTACAATAACGAACCCAAAACAATTAAGAAAATGGGAATAGGAACACACATATCGATATTACCTTAAACGTAAATGGACTAAATGCTCCCACCAAAAGACACAGATTGGCTGAATGGATACAAAAACAAGACCCATATATTTGCTGTCTACAAGAGACCCACTTCAGACCTAGAGACACATACAGACTGAAAGTAAGGGGATGGAAAAAGGTATTTCATGCAAATGGAAACCAAAAGAAAGCTGGAGTAGCAATTCTCATATCAGACAAAATAGACTTTAAAACAAAGACTATTAGAAGAGGCAAAGAAGGACACTACATAATGATCAAGGGATCGATCCAAGAGGAAGATATAACAATTGTAAATATTTATGCACCCAACATAGATGCACCTCAATACATAAGGCAAATACTGACAACCATAAAAGGTGAAATCGACAGTAACACATTCATAGTAGGGGACTTTAACACCCCACTTTCACCAATGGACAGATCATCCAAAATGAAAATAAATAAGGAAACACAAGCTTTAAATGATACATTAAACGAGATGGAGTTAATTGATATTTATAGGACATTCCATCCAAAAACAACAGAATACACATTTTTCTCAAGTGCTCATGGAACATTCTCCAGGATAGATCATATCTTGGGTCACAAATCAAGCCTTGGTAAATTTAAGAAAATTGAAATTGTATCAAGTATCTTTTCTGACCACAACGCCATGAGACTAGATATCAATTACAGGAAAAGATCTGTAAAAAATACAAACACATGGAGGCTAAACAATACACTACTTAATAATGAAGTGATCACTGAAGA